TTTACCCAAAATCAAAGCAAAGCAGGCAGATTGAGTTGCTCACAGAATCATTCATCTATCTATCTGCCATCAGCTAGCTCAGTCTCTCAAATTTGCTTGCCTGAGTCTGCACTGCAGAGCCGAAGATCTAAAGACTAGCTAGAAAGCAAGAAATCCAACCATTTCCTGCTTCCTAGCCAATCTAAATCTCCCAGCACAGCAGAACAGATGATGGTCGGAAAAAGGAAAAATAGCAATTTAGCATGCAAGATTACTGGGTAAGGAGTGAGTGGGCGGGGAGGGTTCCTGTTGGCCATGTGGGCGGTGCAGCCTTGTGTTTCTGCGCAGCCTGGATTAATTGCTTTGGGGGGGTGCTCTGGGGGTGAGATTTTCCTGCGGCCCACCAAAATTTTCTCACGGCCCACCAGTTGGTGACCGCTGGTTTAGACCTTCAGATGCATATCTCTTGGGGTAGAATTTTATTTGGCTTGCTGCCTTCTATAGTCTTCCAGTAGGGCCACTTTGGGGCATGCAGTGACAATAGCAATAGCAATAGTACTTATATACTGCTTTACTTTACAACCCTCTCTAAGAGGTTTACAGAGTCAATTGCCCCCAACAATTTAGGTCCTCATTTTACCCACCTCGAAAGGGTGGATGGCTGAGTCAACCTTGAGCCAGTCAAGATCGAACTGTTGGCAGTGGGCAGAGTTTGCCTGCAATACTGCATTCTAACCACTGCACTCCATGGAAGGAAGGGAGGGAGGGAGGGAGGGAGGGAGGGAGGGAGGCTGAGTCAACCTTGAGCCTGGTGATATTCCAACTGCCAAATTGCAGTCAGCCGGCTGACAGCAGAAGTAGCCTGCACTCTAAACCAGGGGTCCCCAACCACCGGGCCGCGGACTGGTACCGGGCCGCGGAACAACTCCTACCGGGCCGCTGGCTTGCTGGGCGCCGCCATCTTTTTTTCATGAAAAAGTGCTTCCGGTGAGCTTTTCCGGGTAGAAAGCTCACCGGAAGCACCTTTTCATCAAAAAAAGATGGCGGCGCCCAGCTGATGCCGGTACCGGGCCGCGGAGCCCAGCTGATGCCGGTACCGGGCCACGGCATCAAAAAGGTTGGGGATCACTGCTCCAAACCACTTCACCACCGAGGCTCAAAGTTGTGTCTATGCAGACCTTCTTATTCTGATTGGTTTCTTTGCTTGTCCACAAGCTAGTTACATCCATGTGTTTAGGACCTGCCTCCTGATTGGTTCTAAGCATCAACAAACTTGTTAAAAATCAGCATGTACCACCAGAATGCTGGATCCCCCAACTCCCACTGTTTCCAGTCCATGTATCGAATGACTGTTGTGGCACTGGATGGTTCAAGCTGCATCCCAAAAAAGTGGAATTGGAGGTAAACAATGGAGAAAGAACCTCTGTACAGAACACACTTTAAGTCTTCAACAATTCAAAGTATAGCTTTCCTGAATTACCAATAACCAGGAAAATTCCTAGGCAATTTCTGTATAATTACTCAGTTATATTAAGTGTTCTGTCATTGTTTCAATTAGTTTAAATGTTGAATGATAACATTTTGTCTGAGCTGTGGTGGCACAGTGTCTAACTCTAACATGCAGTACTGCAGGCTACTACTGCTGACTGCCGGCTGCCTGCAATTTGGCAGTCCAAATCCCACCAGGCTCAAGGTAGACTGAGCCTTCTATCCTTCTGAGATGGGTAAAATGAGGACCCAGATTGTTGGGGGAAAGAAGCTGACTCTGAAAACCTCTTAGAGAGGGCTGTAAAGCACTGTAAAGTGGTATATACATCTAAGTGCTATTCCTTCCTTCCTTCCTTCCTTCCTTCCTTCCTTCCTTCCTTCCTTCCTTCCTTCCTTCCTTCCTTCCTTCCGTCTGTCCATCCTTCCTTAGTGCACAGTGGTTAGAATGCAGTATTGCAGGCTAATTCTGCCCACTTCCAAGAGTTCGATCCTGACTGGCTCAAGGTTGACTTAGCCTTCCGTCCTTCTGAGGTGGGTAAAATGAGGACCCAGATTGTTGGGGACAAGAGGCTGACTTTGTAGACCACTTAGAGAGGTCTGGGAAGCACCGTGAAGTGGAATATAAATCTAAGTGCTATTGCTCTTCCTTCCTTCCTTCCTTCCTTCCTTCCTTCCTTCCTTCCTTCCTTCCTTCCTTCCTTCCTTCCTTCCTTCCTTCCTCCCTTCCCTTCCCTTCCCTTCCCTTCCCTTCCCTTCCCTTCTCTTCCTCCCTCCCTGTGGTTAGAATGCAATATTGCAGGCTAATTCTGCTGACTGCCAGCAGTTCAATCCTCCTTCCATCCTTCCAAGATGGGTAAAATGAGGACCCAGATTGTTGGGGGCAAGAGGCTGACACTGTAAACGGCTTAGAGAGGGCTGTAAAAGCACTGTAAAGTGGTATATATGTCTAAGTGCTATTGCTATTGCTATTTTCTGTAAGATCTGTCAAAAGTTAATCTAATCCAGTATTTCTCAATGTTGGCCACTTTAGTTGATATTATCTGTCTCAGCAGCCCTCAAGCTTTCCAGCTTGGCAGCCCAGCTTGGGGAGTGGAAGGGGGATAGCTCCCTGAGAGTGAAAAGTGCACGCATGTTTGTGCCCACTGCTCCATTTTGCAAGTGCAAGTGTCTGCCACTCATGCATACAGCTCCACTCACACATGCAGTAGGCACTTGGGAAGCTGTATGCACAAGTGCAAGCACCCACCACTCACTCAAGTGGAGCTGAGTACGGGAGCAAGCACCTGGTGCTTGTGTGAGTGGAGCTGCACACACTGCTCACCTACCATTTGCACAGCCCAGTTCCACTAGTGGGCTGTGGCCCAGAGGTTGGGGACCCCTGGTCTCTCCCATATCATCACCATCATCTTTTAATGACCCCATAATCCCTTGCAGAGTGGAGTCTGGGCTACTGAATGGAGCTGAGTGTTTACTGGCCGGATGACCTTCCTGTCATCAATGCAGAGTTTTATTCAGCAGATATATTCTCATTGTGCCCAGAGAGAGAAATATCTGCCTCTACTTAGGATCGAACTCACAGCCTCCTGATTGTGAGAGTTCTTCCTCTAGGCCACTGCAACATCGCTGGTCTCTCCCATATGCAATGCAGGAATCCTCTCTTACAGCATCCTCAACAGGTGGCCATCCAGCTTATTAAACACCTCCAAAGTTGAGTCCATTGGCACCCATGACATTATATTCAATTGTTGAGCAATCTTAAAGTAAGAAAACATTTTTTGATGTCCAACTCCATTGTTCTTCCTTGTAATTTGAACCTTTTGTTTCTTTGCTTCTGAGCAATTCTACATGTTACCCATCAAATATTGTTATGACACGTTTCTCAATGGCTATTGTACTAATGTGACACATTTCTACATGACACCTTTCAAAGCTAACATGTTTTCCTGCAATTTTTTGTTCCCCAGGATAAGCATACCAAATCTCTCCAACTGTTTCTACTGTGTTTTTTTCCGTTGAAGTGTCTTATTCTCTTAGTCTTCTCTGGATATGCTGCAGCTTGTCAATATTCCTCCTAAAAGGTAGTGCCAGAAATGGATTAACAATTTAAGTGACCAGTTTAGACTAAGGGGAATAATGAGATCTCTTGATCTTGAACTTAATTCCTCTATTTATAAAGCTAGGATTTCAACTGCTTTCTCTTTTTTGGCTACTATGTTCTACTATTGCCTCATGTTCACATTTCAATCAATCAGAATAGAGGACGAAGGGATCTTTGAGGTCTTCTAGTCCAACCCCCTGCTCAAGCAGGAGACCCTATACCCTTTCAAACAAGTGGCTATCCAGTCTCTTCTTAAAAGCCTCCAGTGATGAAGCACCTACAACTTCTTTTTAAAATAAAGTTTTATTGTTTTTTAAGACAAACATAGACAAACAAAACATAAAAACATCAAGCCATCTTCGATATATATACATACAGTGTGTTGGTTGGTTTACAAATTGTTTTGTGCTTCCACTTCGTAGTCTTCAATTACAATTACATTGTATATATTCTGATATTGTCAATCAAATATTCCTAAATACATTAATATCATTATTAATCAATCATTTGACTATACTATTATCCATTCATCTTTTACAAGATAATCCATATTTTATTTAATTTGTTTTGTGATAGTTCATATTATCATCTCAAATCTATCCTACAATCATTTTGTAGATATAATAAAGAAAAATACATTTTTATATATTCACTATGTTCTAAAAATCTACATATTTCATTACCATGTTTTATTGTCTAACCATTGATAGAATAGATCCCAAATTTTATAAAATTGTTTATCATCTTGTTCTCTAATTTCAAATGTCAATCTACTCATTTCAGCACATTCCAATATTTTCTTAATTATTTCCTCCTGTAATGGTATTTTCTCATTTTTCCAGCTTTTGGCAATACAACCCTAGCTGCTGTTAATACATTTACAATTAGGTATTTCAATTCTTTACGATATATTTCAGGTAAAATTCCCAATAAAATATCTCTGGTTTCAAGTCTATATGCTTTTTTGTCATTTTTTCCAACCATGTGTGGATTTTAGTCCAATATTTTTTGGCATCCGCACAAGTCCACCACACATGGTAATATGAGCCAGGTACTTGATGACATTTCCAACATTTTTCAGATTTATTCTTGAACATTCTTGCTATTCTTGTTGGGGGGAAATGCCACCTGTAAAACATCTTATTCAAATTTTCTTTATATGCTGTTGACATTGTCATTTTATAATTTTGAGACCACAGTTTTTGCCATTTCTCTAGATCAATCCCATATCCAAAATTCTTCACCCAAGCAATCATAGTTTCTTTAACTTGTTCTTCTAGTTTAATTTCTAATAAATATCCATACAATTTTTTAATCACCTTTTCATCAGTACCTGTCAAAATCTAATCTAAGTCAGTCAGTTTATCATAGAAACCTTCTGTTTAAGAATCTTTGTCATACCTTGAATGTATTTGCACATATGAAAACCAATTCATCTTTATACCTTGTTCCTCTAGTTTTTGTATGGATTTAAGTTCACCCTTTTCATTCAATATTTCACCATATCTAACTGTTTGTTCCTTTTTGTATATTATAGGATAAGAAAATGCTTCAATAGTCGATAGCCAGACTGGAATTTTCAAATAACATTGCCTTTTAGTCTTCTCCCAGTTTAACCACAGAGACTCCCGTATATAATGTTTTCTAAAATACCCCTGTGTTTTAGTTCCTTTATACCATAAAAAAGCATGCCACCCCAACAACAGATCATGTCCTTCTAGTGTCAACAATCTAGTATTTCTTAATGTTATCCATTCCTTAACCCACATCAGATTTGTAGCTTGGTAGTACAACTCCCAGTTAGGCAAACCAAATCCTCCTCTTATTCTAGCATCTTGCAAAAGTTTTAACTTTATTCTCGCTTTCTTACCTTGCCATATGTATTTCAACACAATTTTATTTAAATCTTCAAAATAATCTTTTCCAAGCCTAATTGGAATTGTTTGAAACAAATATAAAATTTTGGGTAATATATTCATCTTGATTGTTGATATTCTCCCTATTAATGACAGTTGTAAACTTTCCCATTTCGCCAAATCTAGCGCTATCTGCTGCTTAAGTTTAATATAGTTATTCTCTTTTAGTGTACTACATCTTGCTGTCAAATGTATTCCCAAGTACTTGATCTTACTCGTGACCTTGATTTTGAATACATCCGCCAGTTCTTCCTTTTGTCTTGATAACATATTTTTTGTCAAAATCGCTGTTTTGTCTTTGTTTATTTTCAAACCAGCCACCTTCCCATATACCTCTATTTTTTCTATCAATTTTAATGCTGTTTCTAGTGGGTCTTCTAAGATGAAAACCAGATCATGCTTGCAATTTAAATTCTTCTTTTTTAATTTTCATCCCTTTTATGGCCTTTTCTTCTCTAATATTTCTGTTTAGCACTTCCAAGGTTAACACAAACAACAAAGGTGACAGTGGACACCCTTGTCTTGTTCCTTTTCTTATATCAATAGAGTCTGTTAATTCTCCCTCTATCCTTACCTTTGCTATTTGTTTATGATATACAGCTTTTATTGCTTGGATGAATTTTTTTACCAAAACCCATCTGTTCCAGCTGTAATAACATGAATCGCCAATTCACATTTGTCAAGTGCCTTCTGTGCATCTAAGAATACCAAAGCCATTTGTTTTTCAGGGTATGCTTCATAGTATTCCAAAGTGTCCAAAATTACTCTCATATTGTCTTTAATTTGTCTCTTTGGCAGAAGTCCATTTTGGTCAGAGTTATTTTAGTTATTTTTTAAGTCTTTCTACCAATATTGAAGCAAAAATTTTATAATCTGCATTTAGTAGGGAAATAGGTCTATAATTTTTGATTTGTAATGGGTCGGCCTCCTCTTTTGGGATAAGTGTAATATAAGCTTCTGACCATGATTTAGGTATCTTCTTCTTTGACATAACTTCATTCATAACTTCTAACAATGGAAGGTTCAACGATTCATGTAGTGTTTTATAAAATTCTGCCGGACGTCCATCTGGGCCTGGTGCCTTTCCATTGTTTTGCTTCTTAAGTGCTTCAGTTAACTCCATCATCGTTATATTGCTTTCTAACATTATTTCAATCTCTTTAGGTATCTGGGGTAGGTTAGCATTCTGTAAGTACTGTTTAACTCTTTCATCATCAATATTCTCTTGTGTATATAGTTTCCCGTAATAGTCTCATATAATTTCCTTCTTCTCTTTGCTTCTATAGCAAACTTGGCCTTGATCATCTATTAATTGCAGTATTTTCCCTGATTCTTTCTCCTATCTCAGTTTATATGTTAACCATCTACCTGGTTTATTTGCAACTTCAAAATAGTTCTGTTTTGCGCCTCTGATTTTCTGTGCTAATTCTTCTTTTTCCATTAATCCCATTTTATGTTTAATTATATCCATTTTTAACTTAATGTCCTTTTTCTGTGGCATTTTCTGTAACTCTTTTTCAAGTTCTTTATACTCATCCTTATACTCATGTCTTAGAGGCTAGTCTTTTCATGATATTTTCCTTGTATAGTCTATTATCAAGGCTCTGGCATATGCCTTCATTGTATCCCATGCATTCTGCATTGATGTGTCTTCTTTTTTATTTTCTTTAAAGAAAAAAGCCAGTTCTTTCTCCATCCTCTGTATGAAGTCATTTTCTTTTAATATAGTATTGTTTAATGTCCATCTAGATCTTCTTCTTTGTCCTTTCCATTTAATTGTCATTGGATTATGATCTGCCCAAATACTCGTTTCAATATTTATTTCTTGCATATTGGCTAACAATTCTGTTGACATCCATATCATATCTATTCTGGACCATGATGAATGTCTATTTGAATAGAAAGTGTATTGTTTAGACTTAGCATTTCTTTCTCTCCATGCATCTTTCAAGTTTATTTCATCTGTCATTTAAAAAAAGGATTTAGGGAGGGTCTTTCTATTTTGCTTTGTTTTCTGTGTTGTATAGACCAATTTATTGTGTACAATTCCATTGAAATCTCCCATCATAACGATATTAGTATAGTCCAGTTCAATTATTTTCATATGTAGTTTTCTATAAAATTCTTCTTGGTTATCATTCGGGGCATAGATTGCAATCAGGAGTGTTTTCATATTATTGTCCATTATTTCCACCATTAGTACTCTTCCATCATCATCTGTATCAATCAATTTCGCTGGGATAATATCTTTAATGTATAAAACCACTCCTCTTTTCTTGCATTGTGTCAAAGAAGTAAATATTTTCCCTAACTTTGGCTGTTTCAGCAATTGTTCATGTTGCTTTTTAATATGTACTTCTTGTAGGCAGATTATATCAAATTTTAATTTCTCTAGTTTATGGAAAGTTTTCCTTCTTTTAACAGCTGAGTTAAGTCCATTTATGTTAATTGTAATCAGTTTTTTCTCTTCCATGGTTATATTTTGTAGATAGGTTTAGCAGCTCTCGTAGATCTTGGTTCACGTTCCTTAACTTCCACCTTTCCGCCTACTGCACCTTCTTCTTTTTCAATTGCTATTTGGCAATCCTCTTGGATTTCAATTGGTGACATTTCTTTTTCTGTCTCCTTCTCTCTCCCTCCAAAGTATTCAGTATAAAACGATTCAGCTTTCTCAATTGAGTCAATTCTGTGTCTCTGTTCTTGCCATGTGAACATTAAACCTTCTGGAATCAGCCATCTATAATTCACCTCTTTTTAAAGTAGGATTTTAGTCAGGAATCGGTATTCTCTTCTCATTTCTCTCTTCTAGGCACTTGTTTCAGGACCACAATCTCCTTATCTTTATAGTTCAATGTTTTCTCTCTTGCCACCTGTAATATTTGTGTTTTAATGGCTTTCTTTGTAAATCTGATGTGAACTTCTCTTGGTAAGCTATTTCTCATTGCATATCTTGTGAAGACTCAAAAAACCTCATCTATTCCATCCATCATCTTCTCTTTGGTTATTTCCAGAGCTTCAGCCAAGATTTCTATCATTATCTCAGCTAAGTTTTGTCCTTTTTCTTACTCTATGTTTTGAAATGTGAGATAAAATTCTGATCTCCCATCTCAGCATCCCACTTTTATCTTGTTCAATCACTGTCAATCTGTCATCAATATCTCCAATCTTCTTATCTCTTTGTTTATCTTCTTCTTCAATTTTGTTGAATTTCTCATCATACTTCATCATCATTTGTTGAATATTCTCCACCTTTTCATCAGTTTTTTTCTATTCTCCTTTCAATATTCTCTGTCCTTGCTTGTATGCTTTGAATTCCTTGCATTATCATCTGCAATGTCACCTTTTCCTGTTCTTTTTCTTGCTATAACATCGTCTGTATTGAGTGTTGTCCTCCAGATGGTGAAGAGGAAGAAGTAGGAATTGAAGAACCAGCCGCTGTTAATTTCCTGCTCATTTCGGACCAAAATCTTCAGGTTCTTCTAAACCTTAATCCACTTGTGAAATAGCCAATTGTAAATCCAGTTAAAGATAGTGGAAAAAAAGAAGCAAGATAGAGAAAAAAAAAGATTTCTTCAGGTTCTTATATACCTTAATCCAATCGCTTGATTAAATAGCAGTAAAAGCTCAAAAAAGGAAGAAAAGAAAACCATAAACAGAGAAAGGAAAAAAAATGCTAAATCTTGTAAAAGGCAGAAAAATAAAAAGTAAAAAAGTAAAAATAAAAAGGAATTTCTTCAGGTTCTTCAACACCTTAATCCAATTAGAAAGTCTCAGGTATGAAAAAGTATACAAAAAAAGGAAGCCACAAAAAAAAAAAAAACATGGAGGGTAGATAAAAAAAATGCAGGAGAGGGAGAGAGAGAAAAAGAAAAAGCATACTCCCTTAAAAAGAAGAAGAAGAAGAAGAAGAAGAAGAAGAAGAAGAAGAAGAAGAAGAAGAAGAAGAAGAAGAAGAAGAAGAGGAAGAAGAAGAAGAAGAAGAAGAAGAAGAAGAAGAAGAAGAAGAAGA